TTTTACCAGTTTAGCAATTTAGCAGCATCATCCAATATGCTTGTGCTTGTCCATGTCAATTTTTTATAGTCTTTACCTTCCTCTTTGAAAGATACATATAACTGGAGTAGAACCAGTTTTCAGGGTTAGCAAAGTGTCAAAGAGGATTTGTGTTATTGTTTTCTCACTTCATTAACAACAACAAAAATGCAATGCTTTTAAGTGCAGAAAATCTCAATAGATTGATAATGGAAAATTCAAATTACCATCTCTTTCATAGTCAGTAGTTATTCCCACCCGAAGGCTAACAAATTTATATGCTTTGAAATACAGTTAATTCAACACAATGCATGCTTCTGTTTTAGAGTAGTTGTTCCCAAAGCTGTGAACACAGACATACTTGTTTACTTCAAAGTTAAATAAGAATTCTAATGATTTTTCAACAGGAGAAGAATGGCATTGGTGAGAATATTTATAAAGTCTTCCTTTCTTTCTTTTAACAACACTTATTTTGGTTTTAATGTAGACCCATGACTGGAAAGTAATTTTTTTCTGTTGAATGTTAGAGGCCATCAAGTCAACGATGACTCATAGCGACCCCATGAACAGACCTGAACGCTAACCCATCCTGTGCATTCTTCATCTGTGACACACTTGGGTCCATTTCTGTCTTCACCATGTCTATCCAGCTCATTGGGTGATCTTCCTTTCTTTCACTGAACCCCCACTTTTCCAAGAATAATGTCCTTCTCCAAGGAATTGTGTCTCCTAGTAATATGCCCAATGTATTCACCTTCTCTGATTCCAAGAAGCACTTTGGCTACACTTTTTCCTATTTGTAATTGGTATGCACATAATTATTCATATACTTTGTGCTTCATTCAGGTACATACTGGGATTTATTATTATTATTAATTTTCATGAAAATTTACAGAGTCATTGGATTTCCATTCATTCATTGTTGCACTTTTCACCCTGCCCAGCCCTCCCCTCCAGTTCATTCTTCTTTTTGAAAAGTAAAAGAAAACTTCTTTCATTGTTACACAATCCCTCACCCCAAGTCCACTCCACTGTGCAGCCTTCATTCTGGACTCCTGTCCTGACAGTAATACCTAATCACATAATCTTTTTAAACAGTTCTCTCCCTCATCTGTTTCAATGCAGTATACATTATTTAACCCATCTTTCTCAGTCTCCCCCCAACTTTTTGTACATGTGTTTCATACTTTGTTTCCTTGACATTATGTTTCATGAACTCATTCCCATACAATGTGTTTTATAAAATTAACCACCGTTGAACTATGCCCATGATTATCAGTCTTGTCAGGTCCCCCCTGGAGCTTTCCTGTCTACTTTCTCCTCTCCTTGCACTCACCAAATTGTGCACCCCATGATCTCCCCGCTACCCATCCTGACGCCTCTGCTCCCATCCCTTCCCACCTTGGGCCCATACACATTTTCCTAGTTGTACTTCGATATTTACAGTAATAACCTTAGACCTTTCTTTCATTTACTTAGTGAACAAGTCTTTGGAGTGTAGATGAGCTTCATGTGACATATTTGCATGCTCGTGATTCAGGCTGGTGCTGAGACCTTGAATATTGAGCAAATTTTGGGGAAGTATGATTTTGACACACGTACATACACATCTGCATGAATTGCTGATAGATAAAAATGACTAGTAAGTAACGGTGGATTGAGACTTAAGGAAGTAGAATTCCATCCCCTGGAAAAATGGAATTGCTTGCTGAATTAGACTAAGACCTTCATCTACTTTGTAAGGTGTAAGTAGTACAACTTTTTTATGACTTACGTGTGTGTGAAGATAACATGTTGTTGTGTTATGTGCCGTCGAGTCACTTGTGACTCATAGCGACCCTATGCACAACAGCCCTAAACTCTGCTCTGTCCTGTGCCAATCGCACTGTCTCTGACACACCCATCCTGATTACCCTAGTCACTGAATCAATCCACCTCATAGAGGACCTTCCCCTCCTGCGCTGTCCCTCCACCCTCCCAAGCATGATGTCCCTCTCCAAGGACCAGTCTCTCCTTACAACATATGAAGAATAATTTCTATAGCTAGGATATGTTGCCAGAATACTTTAAAGTAACAAGAGTCATGTATGCAATTGACTAAAACCCACTAGTGTGTTTTGAAGGAGGTCATGAGAAGATGATCTCATAAATTGTAACACTAGTTGGCGTGCGGAGAACAAGAGAACAATATTGTATTACATCATGTGTGCCTGAGACCATTTTTTAATAAAATTTTTGTTTTATACTGGTTTGCTTACAAAGTTGGCATACGTAGTTTTTCACACTGGATCTTTGCCATTTCCTTCACCCCTTCCTCGCTCCACTCATCAAGTTGTGCGACCCTATGATTACCTCATGGCCACCCTACTCCTCTGCTCCTACCCCCACCCTTGGATCCTCATACACATTTTACTAGTTATTTTTACAATAATGGTCTTAGACAGTATTTGTCCAAATGGAACTGAGTTAGTTTGCTTAGCATAATGCTCTCCACTCCTTCCCAAGTTAGGTTGTTGTTGTTATGTGCCGTCGAGTCGTTTCCGACTCATAGTGACCCTATGCACAACAGCCCTAAACCCTGCTCTATCCTGCGCCAACCACACTGCCTCTGACACACCCATCCCGATTACCCCAGTCACTGAATCGATCCATCTCATAGAGGGTCTTCCCCTCCTGCGCTGTCCCTCCACCCTCCCAAGCATGATGCCCCTCTCCAAGGACCCGTCCCTCCTGGCAACATGTCAAAAGTATGTCAGACGAAGCCCCAGAATCCTTGCCTCCAAGGAGTAGCTTGGTTTAATCCTCTCCAAGATGAATCTGTTTGTTTTCCTGGCAGTCCATGGTACATTCAGTACCCTTCTCCAGCACCACAGCTCAAAAGCATCCACTCTCCTTCTGTCCTCCCTAGTCATTGTCCAACTCTCTGATGCATAACAAGTGATTGCAAAGACCATGGCCTGTATCAGGCGCACCTTAGTCTCCAGAGAGACACTGTTGCTCCTGAGTTAGGTAGGATTTTCAAAATCGTTGCTCCTACATGCTTCATAGTGGTCCATCATGTGAATATACTGCAATTTCTCAACCTACTTGATTGTGGTTGGACATTTGGGGCTGTTTCCCTGTTTTTGTGATGGGGAATATGCTGCTATGAGCATTGGCATACAAATATGTTTGTGTCTCGGTTATAATTTTCTCGGAGTATATTCCAGGCACTGGAATAGAATAGCTGGTCATATGGGATTTTTATGTTCAGTTTTTTTGAGGAAGTGCCAAACTGCCTTCCAGAGTGGTTGTACCCTTTTACAATCCCACCAACAATATATAAAAACTCCTACCTCACCACATCCTCTCCAACATTTATTACATGTCCTGTTAAACTTTGTCACTGCTACCAGGGTGAGATGATATCTCACTGTGGTTTTGATTTGTATCTCTCTTGTTTCCAGTGATTTTGAGCATTTCTTCATGTGTTTGTTGACCGTTTGAATATCTTCCTCTGTGAGAAGTCTTTCCATGTCTTGTGCCCATTTTGTAATTGGGTTATCAGGTTTTTCCTTGTGGAGGCCCTGTAGGATTCTATAAACCTTCGATATGAGATCCTTGTTTTAAATGGTATTGCCAGATATTTTTTCCAGTCAGTAGGTTTTCTTTTCACTCTGTTGGAAAATATTTTTTTCTTTTTTTGAGGGAGGAGGGAAACCAAAAGGTTATAATCTAGATTAATAACAGAGTACAGTCAAGACAACTCCTGAAATGTGCACAGAGGCACCTCAACCTTGAGCCTAAACTAACAGCTTGAGGCCGGTGTTCCCAGCTTCTCAGTCTTGCCAATATTGGCTTTCCCCCAATCTCCCAAGATCCCATCTCACATCAGGTCTGCAGTCATAGGTGTTGCCTCCATAGGTATAGGTGTTGCCTCCGTAGGTGTAGGTGCAGCGAGAAGAGCATCTTAACATTGTCTTGCTTTCTCTTCAATGGCACCAGAAGATCTGTCTAGAATTTTTTTTTTTTTTATTACACAGGGATTAATCTTTAGAAGGCCATAGATCAATTTTATCTTCTCATGGTTGTGTATTTCTGGCTGCATTTGTCAGCCTTTTTATACCTTGAGTTACGCCTTCTAACCTTGGTCCTGCTTTGTCTCTTATGATCTTTATGGCTTTGGGCTTTATCCCTAGGTCTCTGATCCACCTTGAGTTGATTTTTGTTTATAGTAATAGGTGTGCATCCTATATCGGATTTCTGCAAGTAGTAGTGTAGTTTTGCCAGCACCATTTGTTGAAGAGGTTGTCATTTCTCCATTTGATAGGGTTCATTTGCTTGATGAATATCAGTTGACCATAGACAGTTGGGTTAATATCTGGGTTCTCAATTCTGTTCTGTTGGTCTGTGTGCCTGTCGTTGTACCAGTACCATGCTGTTTCAGTTATTACAGCTGTGCAGTAGATTTTGAGATCAGGGAGTGCAATGCCTCCCACTTCATTCTTGTTTTTCACAAGTGCTTTGCTTATTCGAAGCCTCTTTCCTCTCCAAGTAAACTTGCCAATTCTGAGGCCATTTCTTACTGAATACTTTGAAAAGTACCTATAATATATCTGGGGTGGGGGTGGGGGGAGGATTTAGTAAAGTGATTTATTACAATTTTAGAAAAAATGGTGTTATTGCTTACCAAGTATTCCATTAAGATATTTTGAAATAATGTGACTGAAAAGTGAAAATGAGAAAATCTGCCCGAAGAGATATCAATTACTCCATTATTTCAAAATGATAGGTTTTTGCTGACACTGATGCAAAGATGCATTGGCTCGCTAAGAATCGGTCCAAATAATTTCTTTGAGAATTCAAGAGTTTTAATTTACTGTGCTTTTATCTTCCACTACAACTTAATACTGAATTTAAAACAATGTTTAAAGCAGTGATAACACTACTTAGAAGATTCTCAAATAATTTATTGCTGGTTTTTTGGTTTTTTTTTTCCCCAGACTTGTACAGCATATGTGGACTTTATGATTGCTGTGGCAACACTGATTCGTCAGGAAAGAAAACTGCCCATCAATAATGACCAGATTGTTTTGGAAATGAATAAAATTATGGAACTGGAAAAAGAAATTGCCAATGTAAAACATATTTTCTCTGCTGCATCTCTGCTCCCTTTTTCTATTATATTTTAAGGGTAAAAGTTGAATTCTGTGCAACTCCCTGAGTGATAAAAATACATTCCTCTAATGTATCAGTGACTTCAAGGCAGCCTTTGAAACTGCAGAATTGTCTAGTAAACTGGCGTTCCGGAATCCAAGAGACACACTAAGTTTAACAAATGAAAGTAGATCTATTTAATTGCCTGTCATAAGTGGATTACCTCCAAATTTTGTTTACAGTCAAACTGGTGAAGATACCCTTGAGATTCAGCACACTTGACTGGTGACTATTCAGAAGAAAATAGTTCTAGTTTTTAATATATTCAGATTTATTTAACAATTTAAACTGTCGCTGTGAGGGACCACTTTGCTGAGATATTAACACTTGAACTTGGTCACTTGACTGTGTGGTACCACTGAGTTCAGATTGCCAAGTTCTATAGATTATATGGGAGATCTGCAGCACAATTTAAGGGGTGTTTGGCTGCACTGCTTCTGTCCCCAGACAAACCTTCCAAGTAGACACTGTCTCCTATCAAGTTCCTCTACTGGACCCTGAGTCTCCGTGAGTTACCACTGAGTCTGCGTGGTCTCGGGTTAATGATTAGACCCAAGTCAGATTCATTCTGTGATCCACAGAACTGCCTCTAAAATTGTAAACAAATTTGTCTCTAAGTGGCCCGTTCACTGGCCTCTACCATTTTGGCCTCATTGGGGTCTTGAGAACTGAAGATCTTTGAGGGATGATTGTTGACTCTGTAGAGACACATGGTAGAATATTGGTTAATATTTTGAGCTTCTAAAAGAAAATTCAGCAGTGAAAATCTACCAGATTCTCTGTAGGAAAAAAATGTATAATCTTGTCCTACTAAGTAGTAGGCCTTTCTTGTATGTGTGTATCTGTCCTCTCTTAGACTCCAGGAATGGTATGGGATCTGAGACATATTTTTTATCCCCTGTGACTCTCTTGATAATGTCCAGCATACTGTTGCATACAAGAGATTATCAGCAAATGATGTATTTAAACAAATAAGTGTCCCAAAGGGAAAATTGGAGCCATTGTCATTGAGAAAAAATTTCCTTTTTTAAACTTTAGCCTTTTGTCTCTTCATACCTTTTCCTTGTTTCAACTAATAACTGAGGAATGGTTATACTCTTTTCCCTGTCTATTTGTCTGCTTAGATTAAGTGAGAAAAATGAAATTGAGTGCTGCTGAATATAGGACTTTAAAGTGGTTAGGCAAGATAGAAAGAGAATTGCAAAAGTTGAAGCTGTCACAAGTGTCTTACGTTCTTGCAGAGACTATTGACTTTTAGGACATAGGAGCTTAATTGCAACTGCTGAAGTGAATGGTAATAAAGATGGGGGAAAGGCAGTATTTGAGAGAAATTGAACGTTTTAATATCCAATAAATTTCTTAAAATAGGAAACTTAAACATACAAAGAGAGCAAATAATTTACAATATTAGAAGCCTTAAACGTAAGTGTTTGCAGAATTAAAGTTTTAAAAAATGTCTAAAAAGCTTTAGACTATAAAACAAATATAATACTTCTCTCAAATTATACAGCGTCCATTTTAGATTTTCCCATTTTCTTTAACTACTGTTTTTAAAGTAATTTAGTTTTAAAATAACAATAAAAATTTTAATCCATAGGCTACAACTAAACTTGAAGATCGAAATGATCCAATGCTTCTTTATAATAAAATGACCTTGGCCCAGATCCAAAGTAACTTTTCATTAGAGATTAATGGAAAGGTAAGTAACACATTTCCTGTATTCTTATTGTGTCATTTCTTAAAATTCAGAGTAGAAATCCTGTTTCCTAATATTTATTCCTAATTACTGAAATGTATAAGGCTGCTGTACATCGGGTCACTATGAGTCGCAAATGACTCGACGGCACATAACAACAACAACAGTTGACTTTAAACATTCATTTCTGTGACACAAAACATTTGACTTTATTATGACTATGCTCAAAACCCCTCATTCAACATTATTGCATTTATATTAAGCCCGCGTTAAAGTTCTGGGGTGGAATTCCTTTAATGACAACTATGCAGTAATATTGGAGACTGTCTTAGGAGATAAGAAACCAATGGGAAGCTACCTCACTTGAACAGCCAAATAATGAAGGCACTTGCCTTATTTTCATTAAGATTATCCATGGAAAAGCCAAAAGCAAAAGAATGGAGAATTAGACTAGAAGCAATAAAAGGACATTTTCCCTCTTTAATTACATTTACAGAGAGTAGTTGACATCTTTTTCTTCTTTCTAATTCATTATCTAGTATCTAATAATCTATTTTCAGGAACTCTACACATTTATTTTTGTGTATTCTTACGACATATTTAGGAAATGAAGCAACATTGAAAAAAGTACATACCAACTGCATCTGATAATGAGATTCTCTTTGGCTCCAATGGTAGTACACAAACTTCAAATGCCTAACCTGTTGGGTTACACAGTTTTATACAATAAGCGCTTAATAAATATATTTTTGGGGAAGTAGCCTGATCCACCAAACAGAATCAAGAAAAATACACCACACCTCATACTTCATGTGGCACATATGTATGAGGTACACACACACACACACACACACACACCCCTCTGCAGGGTGGCCTAATCTGTAGGGAGTAGCATTGCCAACCCAAAGGTTGCTGGTTTTAATCCACCAGTTGAACAGTCTCCTTCCATATGATTTATAGCCTTATTTGCTATGAATCAGTTCTCACTAGATGGCCGTGAGGTTTTTTGTGTGTATACACACCCATCTCATACATAACTCTATTTGTTATCTATATGTTTTGTTTTTGTGTGTGCAGTTAAGTGAGGCTGACTCATAGCTGACCCTCCAGCAGGTTTTTCAGAGACAGTAAATCACACCGGAAGAGAAATTCTCCCTTGCACCTGGTAGATTTGAACTGAGTGCCTTTGAGATAGCAGCACAGCTTCTTTCCACTAGGCCATTGGTGCTCCTAAGATACTAATATTATTCTTATGTATCCTCAACTATTAAGTTATTAAGCAAAACAACAAAAGTAATGTTATCTTTACTTATGCCTTCTTATATATCTGTTGGTGATTGGGTAACTACACTTCCTATTTAAAAAGTGAAAGGAAATCAAGATTTCTTATTTTTTAATTTACCTTCTAAGCATGAACACTGCATGAGAAACCACTGTACAACAAATGCTGGTAGTAGAAATGTGGGGTTTAAAAAAAAATTTGGTTATATTGAATATTTATGTTGTGTATATAGGAGCAATACCACTTTTATAGAAAGATTATGTTTTCATTTACAACAGGATCTCCACTGAGATGTATTACTAAAGTCTACTTTAAAATGATAGACCCTATATTTTGCTTGAATTGGTATATATAATATATAAACACTATATATTTAATTTTTACTTAAAGCAAGGAAGTTTTAATTTTTGGTTAAAATATACATAATAAAACATTTACTATTTCAATAATTTTTACATTTTCAGTAGGAGAGTTACATGCTTCATGGAGCGAGTTATATTTTTTAAAGCTATTCTTTTTGGTTAGACTAAGAAGATATTAGGCTAATTTCTAATTGTCTATTCCTTAGTAACTGACATCTTTTATATCTAACCATCTAACTATGAATGAATTTTGGATTCAAGAAGAAAAGGCTGTAATTATTGAATGTTTTTTACTTGCCTTTTTCCCCAGCCATTCAGCTGGTCAAATTTCACAAATGAAATAATGTCAACGGTGAATATTAGTATTCCAAATGAGGAAAATGTGATTGTTTATAGTCCAGAGTATTTATCCAAACTTAAACCCATTCTTACCAAATATTCTGCCAGGTATGTATGTCAATGTTCCTGTATCTCCAAAATTGACATTTCATATCACTCTTTAGAAGCTTTGCAGCCTCATTTTTTTTCTGTTGCTGGGTGGTGGGTGTTTTTATACAGAGATCTCCAAAATTTAATGTCCTGGCGATTCATAATGGAACTTGTAAGCAGCCTCAGCCGAAACTACAAGGAGTCCCGAAATGCTTTTCGCAAGGTGAAGAAAAAAATATCTCGTTTTCTTTTCTTTAAAAAAAAAGACTTAAAGCAAAAAGAGATACATAGTTATCCTTGTACACCTCTAGAATGTAGTAAACGTCACTAAGAGACAAAAAGGCCAAATGTTGATACTATTTTTCATTTGCGGATAAGTTGCCTAAGAAAGAAACTCATTTTCATAAGCATTTGCTAAGTTAAATTGTCAGCTCTGGTGCCACAATTGCATTGCAATATTAAAAATGACATTCAGTTATTTGAGACATTTGTGAAAGAACACTAGCTTTATTTTGGTTGTGTTAAAAGTAATTGCAGTGGTGTCTTAATTAACTTACTCCCAGCACACAGATGGGACTACATTCAGGTGGGCAATTTTGTGAGAGGACACCTACCTACCTGGAGATAAACTCAAGACCTGGTCTTAACCTGGATCTACATTTTAACAATCATAGTTATATTCTCATTGTGAGAAGAGGGTTAGTAAAGATTGAGGAGAAGAGATTCTAGCTAACATACTGATGAGGAAAAGAGATTCTAGCTAAAGTATTGATTGGTGTTTTAACAAGATTGCTTTCTGAATTATTGAAATTTTTCAGGTTTTTGTTCTTTAAAAGAACGTGTAAAAAAAAGAAAGAACATGCAATTAACATTTTTTTTAATTAAAGAATGCAGAAGTGGTTTTCTGCCACATCCTCCTGGCCTAAATTATTCCCCTCCTTGCTTCTTGTTTTCTTGTAAAGCAGATGTCCGCTCTGGTACATTTTAATAAAACCATTACTTTTCATTTACATTGTAATAACAGTGTAGTATTTATTTGCCTTCTTTTCTTTCCCCACCCCACAAGACATCTAGGATGTTGTGGGTAAAAGTTCTCCTGTAATATACTACCAAAATATATTTACAATAAACAGTTCAGTCAGGTTGCATTTGGTTGTAAGGTAGGGAAATGTGCCACCTGAGAAGTGATTAATACAGCAAAAACTTAAAGGAAAAATAAAGGTTAGTATCTGACTGAATACATGCTCTTACTAAGCTCCAAGCCTCTACTCTTGGTCAATTCACAGTCTTGGTCATTTCTCCTCTCCGCAGGCCATTTTTGGGACGACATCTGAAACGGCAACCTGGAGACGTTGTGCAAATTACGTCAATGGGAATATGGAGAATGCTGTGGGAAGACTTTATGTGGAAGCTGCATTTGCTGGGGAGAGCAAACACCTGGTAATGTCTTCAGTGCCATAAACTACTTGTTTACATTGACTGACAATTCAGTAATCCATAATTTTACTAAACAGGCAGAAAAGCCTCTGAGCCATACTTATCATTGGTTTTCAGTAAATCTCACTCACTACTAAAAATCTGCTCATTATAACCATTTAGTTCAAAACAAACTGGCCACTTTCCAGAAGTGGTGTATTCAATGTACTCGTTCACACGTCCTGTTGATATAAAACTCTGTTGGCAAAAGCAACCAAGAAGGAGTGGTTTCTTAAAACCTAAAAGTTAACTAGAGTTATTTCCGTTGTAACACTTGCACTCCATTTGGATTTTTACTGAGATAGAAATAAAGGAATTAAAGTCTGAAAAAAAGAATCCATTCAAATGTTAGTTCATGCTTAATGATAATGACAGGTTGTGTTTCAGAGCATTTTTTAAAGTTTGTGCTTTTTTAAATGAGACATGCAGTTGCATTCTGAATAAGATTTTTGTGTGTATATATTACCCACTCCAACTTCCTTCAAGTCCTTTCTAGCCCATGGTGAACCTGGAGAATGAGCAGAACTGCCCCATTAGGTTTCCAAAGCTATAACTCTTTGGAAGCAAATTGAGTCATCCTTCTACAACAAAGTGCTCGGTGGCTTTAAACCACCAAATAGTTAGAAGCCCAATAAAGGCTTTAAGCACTCCTCAACCAGAGCTGTTCCATGTGTATATCTATTTAATCAGACCCACCTCTCCAAAATACTGAAGAGCAATGATGTAAGTTTGAAGACTAAGGTGCACTCAGTTTGGCTATGATCTTTCCAATCTCTTGCTTTGTAACTGAGAACTAGATAATGAAGAATGATGACAGAAGGATAACTGATGCCTTTGAGTTGAGTTGGAGAAGAGTGCTGAATACTCCGTGGGCTGCTATAACAGTAAACAAATATATCTTGGAGAAAGTGCAGCAGCCAAAGTGTTTCTGGGAGACAAACCTGCCAAAGCTTCATCTCTCATACATTGGCCATGTTGCTAGGGAAGGGTTTTCCTTGGAGAGGGATATCCTGCTCAGAAAGGTGAAGGGTCAGCAAAAGAGAAAAGACTACTGACTAGATAGATTGACACTGTCACTGCAGCAATAGGATCAAGGATGTCAGAGGATAAGACAAGATTCAGGTCTGTTAATGAGAAGGTTGCTCATTGGGTTGGGTCATTATAAATAGTGACAGTACCTAACAACAATAACAGCAATTCATAAAACAAGAGGAGAGCCGGTAATCTAGTGGGAAGGAGCTGCTCTGTCAGCCCAAAGGCAGTTGGTTTGAGTCCACCAGCTGCTCCGTGGGAGAGAAATGCTCAAACTTCTCCTATGCAGTTTACAGCCTCTGAAAACCCACTGGACGGTCAGCTATGAGTCAGTTTGGATTTGACAGCATGTAACAACAGAACACTCATAAAACAAACATAAATCTTCACCATTAGACTAGGCATTATAAGGATAAAAGGCGTAAAAATTGAAGAAGTCAAGGATTTCATTTTGTTTTAATTCACCATGAAAACTCATGCAAACAGCTGCCAAGAAACCAAATGACAGATTCCATTGGACAAAGGGACTCTTTAAAGTGTTAAAGAGCAGTGATGTCACTTTGAGGACTAAAGTATCCCTGACCCAGACCATATTGCAATCACTTCAAAATGCATATGAAAGCTAGACGGTGAAGATCAAAGAAGAATGATACTTTTTTTTTCCTTGTAGCCAGTGTTAGGAAGGAATATTGAATATACTGTGAATTACAAGGAAAAGACATCAGGCTTGGAAAGGTGCAGTGTCAGCTAAAGAGAAGAGCTTTGATAAGTCAACAGTCACAATAACTGCAATAATGAACTTGAGCATGAGGAAATCGTGACAATAGTCAAGGCTCAAGACTGTCATTCAGAGCCACACTAAGAATGGTAGTCGGCACGGCAGCACCTAACACCATGAGAAGAACAAACACATCGGTTTTGGAAGAAATACAGCAGGTTCCTTAGGCTAACAAGATGTTGTCTTACATGCTGTCGGCACGTTATCTGTAGGGCTCAGTTCTTGAAGCATGACATTAGTGTTGGTAAACAACAGGTCAGAAAAAAAAAATGAAGAAGGTGGATTACCACAGTGGCTGAAACCATGGCTGAATCACAGTAATGATGGCCAAGGTTGATTGTCAAGGTTGTACAGTGTTTCTGTTATAGAGTCACTATGACTCAGGACCAACTCAAACCGCACATAATACCAACAACAATTGACTCAGTAGTGTTAGTAGTGACAATGTTGTTTTAAAAAATACAATGTTCAACAAATGTCCGTTTGTAAAGTTGTACTTTGTCCATTTTATTTATGAGCATGTTATGTTTGTTGTTATGTCCCATCAAGTCGCTTGCGACTCATAGCGACCCTATGTACAATAGCCCTAAACCCTACTCTGTCCTGTGCCAGTCTCACTGTCTCCAACACCCCCACCCTGATTACTCCAGTCATTGAATCAATCCACCTCATAGAGGGCCTTCCCCTCCTTTACTGTCTCTCCACCCTTCCAAGCATGATGTTCCTTTCCAAGGACCGGTCCCTCCTTACAACATGTCCGAAGTATGTCAGAAAAAGCCTCAGAATCCTTGCTTTCAAGGAGCAGCCAGTTTAACCCTTTCCAGGATGAACCTGTTTGTTTTCTTAGCATGTTATAGAGTCACATAAAGACAGCTTATTGCTCTAAGTTTTAATAATTATGCTACAAAGACTAAATTAATGACCTACTGACTTTGTCTTTTTTTTTGTTTTGAGGTTGAGGATTTGATTGCACAGATCCGGGAAGTTTTCATTCAGACCTTAGATGACCTCACTTGGATGGATGCCGAAACAAAAAAGAAAGCTGAGGAAAAGGTAAAAAGCACAGCAGGACTATCAAAGAGAAATGTTTTTCTAGAAATAGATGAAATCCAAATGGGGTAGGGAAAATATAGTCAAGAATTGCACTAAGAGAATTCAGGCTTCTTCAAGATGTTAATCTTTTGGAGAACATCTTTCATTGATAAATATGTTTTCCACTGATTTCCATCTATTATTATCATAATACAACCTACGTCTATTTAAACCTATGGTCCATTTAAAACTTTAAAAATACTCTCATTTCCCTTTTGTTTATAAAAGGTGTCAGAAAACAAGAGGATCACATGTCTGAAAAAGTAAAGAATTCAAAGAGATTGTATCAATAGTTCTTTTTCCTACGTGTATGAAACATATTTAAGTATCTCATTCAGTGTTCAGAAATTTTTTTCTCATTTTTTTAAACTATCAGTTAGGCTTTTAAAATGTCCCCAACATATGTTTTTAAGTGATCTAAAGGAAAAATAGAGAGAGCTTTGGTGGCCTAGTGGTAAGAAGTTGCACTACCAACCCTAAGGGATGTGGTACGAATCCACAGGCTGCTCCTAAGTGGAAAGTCAGTTTCCTCCATGCAATGTAAAGCCTCTGAAAACTCACTGGAGGATCAGCTGTGAGCCCGTTCTGACTCAATGGCACATAACAATAAAGACGGAGAAAACCTTATGTATTCTAGTTAATGTAAGATGGTGCCTTATTTGAGTATTATATAGTCCAGGGAACTCTGGTGGCCAAACTATGAGGAGCTGTGTTGCCAACCTGAAGTCATGCAGTACTGTTCCACAGGAGAAAGATAGGCAGTCTCCTCTTGGGCAGTTTACTGCCTCTGAAAACCTGCTAGAAGGTCAGCTAGAGGTCTGCTCCACCCCGACAGTCCATACACAGTGACATCATGTGATCTAGGATTGCGACAGTGAGCTTAAGCAGAGCAGAGCCTGTGAGCACAGCACAGGATCAGGCAGGGTTTTATTGTGCTGGACCTCGGATCGTTCTGATTCAGAGCTGACTGGAGGCAACCTACTAGCAATCACAAAATTTAATCGAGAGGCTTTGGAGAAAACTGTTTAAACTTTTTCAGTCTACCCTGAATTTTTATTGGGACTTTGGCTATCTTGCATAAGAATAAAGGGAAGATTGTTAAGGAACTGATCGTTTTACATTTCCAATGGCTTAGAAAAGTGAGCTCTGGTGGCCTAATGGTAAGGAGTTTACAGTCGTCTCCTGTGCAACTAACTGCCTCTGAAAACCCCCATCAGGGTTAGTGATGGGATGGTTTCAACAACAACAAATGTCTTGGAAAAGTGCAGCCGGAGTGCTCCTTGGAGGCATGGATGGTCAAGTTTCGTCTCACGTATTTCAAGCATGTTGCTAGGAGAGGCTTTTTCTTAGGGGCATCATGCTAGGAAAAGTGTCGGTCAGTGAAAGAGAGGAGGCCTTCGGTGAGATGGACTGACATGATGGCAGCAGCACTGGGTTCAAGTATGTCGGAAATGATGAGGATGGCAAAGGGTCAGAGGATCTCAGGTGCACCTGACACCAAAAATGATCATTTAGCCCGATAACCATATAAATCTTAGAGGGTGCATGTCTAGTGACAGCTGTGGCCTTCCTTTGTGAGCAGCAATGGCATGCTGCTGTTGGTGGTGGTGTGTACTGTCAAGTTGGAATTGACTCCTAACTGACCCTCCAGTGGGTTTTCAGAGGCAGTAAATCCGACCAGAGGAGATTGCCCATTCTTCTCCCACAGAGCAGCTAGTGGATTCGATCTAAAATTCATTGAAATGAATCCTGATTGTTTTCCTACAATATGACAAGAATGTAATTCTGTTCTTTGGATTACTGCTGAAATTCTAAGCATGTTGTCATCAACCTTTACTCTAACTTTCTTCCAGAACTCAGTTAGATTGACCTATACCTCTCAAAGAGCCCTGGGTGGTTTAGTCCCCAGCATAGCTATTCTTCCACCACTCTAGGCTGTTCCTCAGATTTCAAGTCAAATTCGTTCCTTGTATGATGTAGTGTTTGTGACTTGGTGCTGTTTGGTGTAGCTTATTGGATTGTACTAGATCATTGTTTTCCCAAAGTGGTGTGACGGAACATTAGACTTAACGTTTGCCCCACAAAAATGAATGCCAACGTGAAAAGAATTAAGGAAACACTTCTTGTAGGAAGGTTTCCCTAATCTTAGCCTAGACTTATTGTGTTCTTCTAGGAGTAATTTTTTTTTATTTTAATAATTTTAATGAACATTTACAGAGATTTTGGATTTCCATTCATTCTTTGCTGCACTTCTCTTCCCCACAGCCCCCC